GTTATAATGTTATCTTCTCATCAAAAACATGCCCAGAGTCTTACTTTGATTCGTTCATGCATGTTTGAGAAATCCTGCAGTGTCCTGAGACAGCCAGGCAGGGGAGCAAAAACGACCGGTTGGGACTAGAACCGCCTTTTGGGACCAGCTCCGCCTCTGAGATGTGTCTCCAAGCCAAGCTTCCTCATCACAGAGCACACCTCCCCCACCCTCCACCCCCGCCCATGACTCATGCAGGCTGTCCACAGTAACAAAGCAAACAACTGGTGAAACTGAAACTGCCTGCTGAGCTCTTAACACTGACTGTGTCCAAAACAACAGGCCGGGTCCTCCGGAGGACCCAGACTACCCGGTCTCGGCGGGCCGGGTCCTTGGTAGACCGGGAAGACCGGAAAAAAGAGGCTGTGAATTTGGACGGTCTAGCCTCCCCTCCACCCTGGCGTACATCATGTCACCTAGCAACTGTGACGACGCTAAACAGAAGGAAAATTAGATCAAAATTAGAAAAATGTTAATTTATTAGTGTTATTAATATCACAAAACAATAAAATGAAAGTTAATAATTGACCCACTGTAGGTGCATGTTTATTTCGCGTTTTTTTTGACAAAAATATTTAAAAACACGTCTATACAAATGATAAAAGTATTACAATTACAATCGCTAGAAAATTTTAATTTTTACATCGCCATATTCTTTTCTCTCGCTTGGTCCACCATTACAAAAAAATCTCCGGTCGGGCCGCAGTGCATTATGGGATATGCTGGGCCGGGAAGGATCCATCAGACCTGTCCTTCAATTCGGGCCAAAGGAAGGACGTATTTGTCGGCCGCATTGGACGAGTCTTCGGTTTTGGACGTCCTTCGTCGCGGCGCTGTGACGTATGCAGCTGACAAATTCAGCCTTCAGAGGACCAAGCCCACCATTTAGGACACAGCCTATTTCTCACTCAGTGAAGCTCTTTTCAGATTTAAAATACGTTTGAGGAAATGTAATTTCAGATGCCAAGTAAACTGCGTCATAAGCCTCCCACCCCCACAGAAATGGGCGGGACAGAAGCGGAAGGAGGTTCTTAAAGAGACAGAGGCCAATTTCAAAGTGTTTAGAAGAGGAAGTGATGTGAAGATGTTTATTTTCTATTTAAACATAAAAACAGCATTTTAATAACAACTAAAGGTGACATAGATACTTTATAATGGTATAGTATTTAAATGTATTCCTGAGAAACACATAATATTGGTCCTTTAACTGACTGGGGGATGGTGTGGGTGTGGCAGAGTGGTGAATGCTGATGCCTCGCCGTTTGCACACGGTTGGCTCTAAATCCCACATACTTGATCTGATCCACACCAAATTCTGTGTGCACCATCAAGGGAGACCTGCTCAAAACGTTTGCGTAGTAGTTTGACAAGATCCCTTCAGCTCCCATACCCGTCCGTCTCTTCACCTTAAAAGATGATTTAAAGAATGAAGGCCTGTGACGATTCCAACAAAATTTGGTCATCACTGAATGGTGACGGGACATCAGCAACGTTTGGCACAGAGTTCCATCTTGTGTAACTTTACACTAAAAAAACACGTTAAAATGGTAGAAATGTATCTTTAAAAATAACATATGGAAAAACTATACTGTCAGTACTGGTTTTTATGAATTTATTAGAAATGTTTAAACAGCAATTAGAAAAAAAACTTCTAACATCATTTGTTCCGTTTTTTTAAAGGTGACACTTTGTCCTTCTTTATTTTGCATTCATAAAGCAGGAGCACCAGGTAAACTTATGGAACAATGCTTAATTCATTTATTTGTGCGTTTTAATCAGAACTCAACCACTGAAGTGGAACCTGTACAACAGGGAACGTATTAATATAACACCAAATATATTTACCAAATGAGGAGGAAAAGTTTGTCTTTTAAAGTTTTATTACAAAACAAACTTGAATCAATAGTTGAATAATCAACAATATAAATCACAAATAAGAAAAAGAATTTGGAAAACATTTGAAGAAACAGTTTGTTAAATTTGATGCTTCACAATCAGATTTTAAATTTTTAAAGAACTCTTTTAGACAAGAATTTATCAGTTTTAATCTGCACATTTTAGATGAAGTGAACTGTTTTAGTTAAACAGTTTACCTTTGGAATTTGGTTGAAAATGTTATTTAATTGATCCGTTTATATAACTTCAGGTAGAGGAATTAGAACCGGACCTGAGGTTGCTGTTTGTGGACTACACCCAGGATCAGGAGTCTGAAGCTGGACAGGCTGGACCTTCTCTGACCCTGAAACCTTTCTGTAAAAGCTCTGAGTTCATATTTGAATCTGGATTTGTCACTAAAAACAGTAAAATAAGAAGTTAATATATATATAT